TTATGTTGGTACTTTGGTAGGTGCCTGCATATCTTATCCAATTTTTAGTATAAATAAACTTCAATATTTTGTAAAAATCGAAATCAATTAAGTCAATTAAGGAATTTAAATCAAATAAGCCAATATTCATTACCTACATTGGTTGTGAATTTAAGTTGGTAATTGAATACAACTAATAATAATTGTTTTAATTTTCATTATTTAACTGTTTTTTTTTTCAGGGTTGTATTAAGTACGGGTAAATAATATAAAACTTATATAGGTAATATATATCAACTATTTATATTGAGTTTTAAGAGAGCGAAATTAGTACAGTTATTTTGATTTTACTGAGGTCACCCACTGGAGTATAGTTATAAACTTATAAACCATGGTGGGCAAAGTTAAACATTTTAAATACAGATAAACTGATGAACGTATTACTTTTTTTTTTATTACAAGTAATGATTTAAGTCAGTATGATACAGACCTGCTTTGCTCACCTCTGAATAGCTATATAGTATAGCGGTGTATTAAAGTATTATTATTTATTGCTATAATAAATTTGAAATTGATGATGTATTATCTCATTCAATAAATGATTTTGTGTAGATCCCATTTTGTTTATACCATATACAATATACATATATCAGGACATCAGGTTATATCAATCGTATATCAGGTTCAGGTACTAATAGTATAGGTACATTAGTGGAATAATATTTAGGTCCCATATAAAATATTTTTAAAATGGAAAGTATCTACCCATATTATTTATGATAAGTAATTATGAATGGTTTTGGACATTAATTGAAAATAGAAATGGATTTATGAACCATGAGCAGTGATCACTGACCTTGTATTAAAATGTTGGTAGTATAGGTATTAAAGCTAGACAGAATTAATAGGCATAGAGACGTTTAGTGAGTTAACACTTATCAAAAACTCAAGATTAGTATAAGTTAATTATTATTATTATTATAAGATAAAAGATTGTTTGTATTGTGTGTAATAATACCAATAAAAATCAATTGTGGCTCGGCCCGGTTGCTGCAATTAGTTATTCAAAATGACTGAGAAACGAGAGCACGCATCATCCGCTGCCACTAGTTCCCGGATGGGTGACCACCCGAGTTCTTAGTGGTAAAAACCTTGCCACACATACACGAGTTGCCTAACCAACCCTACCAACCACAAAAAAATCGTAGCCCCTACAATAGCTTATGACCATGGTTGTCGGATTGAAGCCGATAAAAACGCCTCACAAGAAATTAAACAACTATTTTTCAATTTTTTCTTCGTGTTTCTGGGCAGGAAAGTGATAATGAATGTATAAAGCTCCTCCCTTGTTGCACTTGTGTCTATGCTTCTGGTGAATACTTGAGTATTACCTATTTTAGTACACTTTCTTATGTTAAATTTTATATTAATAGTGCGGATTTTAAGTTTTACACCTTGACAAAAAATCATCTTTTTCCGTAGGTACTTCTCAAATATTCTATCGATGCCACTAAAATTAATTAAATCTATGATATAGGTACCTCGTACCTAAAACTATATTAATTGGATTAATATTTAATTGTGTATTGTATAATTGTGTATACAATATAGTAGTAATTATATAAGTAATCGAAATTCGAAATATATGGTGGAAATATAATTTTTCGATGATTTTTAATTCAAGAGAATGATTCAGATATGGGCTGTCAAGATGATTACATTAATAATATGCTCTTCCCCAATTGACAAAAAGTAGACTAACCATTGGCTATAGACTATAGTATATCTACATAGGCTATAACAAATAAAAATTATTTTACATTTATTTTATTATATTTTTGAAGAAATGGTCCTCAACTGAAATATTCAATGTTATTCGGATGATAAATAATTTTAAGAAGCAGAAACTATTTCCGCGAAATAACAAATATGATAATATGTATGCTAATAAATGTAGATATAAGTCGTTTTTCTTAAAATACAAAAATTGAAAAAAACAAATCAAAACAATTGATTTATAATGATTAACAAATTAAGTCATTAATAAGAGGAAATAATAATATTATGACCTCGAAATGGCTGATTCTATTATTGTTATTATTGTGATTTGTGAAACAATACTATGGAACTCCTGGAATTCGAGTCTTCGGCGGCGATAGACGAACACACAATGAAAATCGTCCGAACAATGCATGCGAGTGGTTTTATTATTATACCTATTTATAGTATCCATCCATATTGTATGATGGTAGAAAAAAAAAAGCCTTAAGGAAAATAGTTCCGACTCCCGGAAAAAAAGTATCCAGAAATAAAGTACCTGGGAAAATTGTACCAATACACCATTTTCAACTTGGCTTGGAATCTAAAATTTAAACATCTTATAGAGTATAGACAGTACAAATATATACTGAATACTGATTACAGTTATCCCTATATAGGGCAGGAATTATGATGCAATATCATTACCTACGTTTTCTGGTGTTTCAAAATATCGCTCCTCAAAGAAACAGAAAACATAGCGAATTAAAAAATTCTTTCCGTGATAGAGTGTTATGTCAACGAATCTATTATGTAAGGATAAAACTTAACAATGTAGGTATACAAATTGTAATTTGTATTTTGTAGGAAGGTTGATAAAAAAGGAAAAAATGTTATATATACCCACCGTTTTTATTATTCAACATACTAAACAGTTAACAGTAAACTTAAGTTATCCTTTAGTTAAGCCACTGGTCTCTACTATACAACAGTTTGCCATCCCGCCTCTTTCAAATAAATTCACGACTACTCCACTATAAATTTTATTGATCTATTATCATTTTCCAATACATGTTTTTTCGTTGATTTTTCACAATGTTTTCATTTTTAAACAAGTTAATCGTTTTTGAAAAATGTACATACTGTATATTGGTACTTAGTACTTACCAATTAACTTCTCATTAGTAATAACTTGCTTCAATTTAAAAAAAAATTAAAAAACCAACCAAAGAAGCCAATGTTTTAACATTTAAGTTTGGTAAAAGGCATAGGCGGTGCAAGGGGGACTTGGAGATTTCAGGTTATCAAATGTATACAGTATAGTTAAGTTCTAGCTACAGTTTTCTATCATTGTTCACAAATATTCTACTTAAAGGACATAAAAACACTACATTTTAATTTTAATGGCTTCTTATTGTAGTAAAAATAATGAAAAATGTTTAGGGAAAAATCCAGAATTAAAAAATTGTATATAGGAATTGTAATTCTGAAAAAAAAATTACAAATTAAAGAATTTGCTTAATTTGTTACAAGTGGCAATAATGTGGATTCAAAATTGGTAAAGATTACCATGATTCAAAATCAATTTAGAAAATTAATGATCTAAGGCATCGATTGAATCAAAACAGATTCTTGAAAGACAGAAAAACGGGAATTATTACGCAGAACCAGTTTTCGAAAAAATCGATTTTGGTTTTTACTTTTTAGTGTAACTTTAACAAAAATGGCCGTTGATACATGACATTTTCACTAAATATTTGTGTTACTATTTTCTATACACCATACAATTTTCAAAATATTTTGATTTGTGTTGAACTATTTATAGGCGTATGAAGTTTTCAATTATTATTTATTTTTTTTAAACTTAAGTCAATAAAAAAATTTTCGTTTGTTTAAAAACTTTGTAAATGTAATACAAGCTAGTTTCCCTGTAAGTTGTTGTTAATGGAAATTAAAAAAAAAGATGAGCGTAAATCCACAATAATTGTTTATGAGTGTTTAAACTTAGAATTTTGACAATATTCGTATAAATCACGAAAATTAGTAAATTATATTTAGTTAGAAATCCATAAAAAATTTTCTTTTTATATCTAAGATTTAAAAATTGAATACAAGACTCCTTACAAGTCTTTATCAAAATAGAATGTCTACCGGAAAATCAAATTAAATTTTTATGAGCGTTTGTAGTTGAAATTTCTACATTTGATTTCTCTTGACTTTTGCAGTGATTTTCTTATTTTGTTGTAATTCAAAAACGCGTTACTGTAGGCACTAGACACCTGCAATTTAAATCAAATGTTTATTTCATCAATTCATTTACTTGATAAAATCTTCAAAATATTTTGATTTGTTTTAAGCTGTTGATGGACATTTTCAATTTTGTAAAATGTAAGCTATAAATAAAAATAAAAGAATTATTTTGTTTCCAATATAATTTTATAGTTCTACATATTATTATACTCTGTGTATTGCCATTTGTCAACAATGTATAAAGACGGTTCAGCGACTGTGATAGACGACAGTGTGACGATGATAGTAATAATAATATTAAATAATATCGTATATCATCGTAATCGCTGCCGCTGCACTACTGCTGCAGTAGTGCAGTGTTGCACTACTTGCACCCGCCACCCTACGAGTTGTCAACGGCGGCGGCCGAGATGGGAATCGTTCTGCGTCGTCCATCGGAGGTGAATTCCGTACTTCCGTGGGCGGCGCGACGCACAGGTGTATTATACAGTAATACACACACAAGCGACGCACCACCGTCCGTCATTCGATCACCACACGAACCGTCGTCGCTGCCACCGCAGCACCACCGTCGGCCCCACCCGGCGCCAGACCGACGATCGCAACCATCGACGTGACGCTTGGCAGGGGTGTCCAGACTCCAGGAGTATATATAAAAAATCTACGGTCCCCACTAACCACCTAAGAATCATAGTGACGTATTCATTGTTAATATTACAATTTTATAGTATACCTAATAAATAATATGGATTCATATTTAGGACGTCGAGGCTCATCGCGACAATATCGTCGAAAATCACGATCACAGATCTAAAATCGTATAACGTGTTGTCGGATGGCGGACGGAATGCCCGCGATTTGGTCACCACTGGTATGCGGCGCGTAGCGCGGCGGCGGCCGTAGTGTTGATCCGTTAGTTCGTCGGGCGGGTAGAGTACTAGAGCGGGACTGGTGGGAGAAAATATCACTACAATATTATACCTGATCACGGTACGGAGCTTTAGAAAAGTAGCCGTGTACCTGTATCCTTGTTTTCGGACGCATGGTCGTTAATCGCTATTGTCGGTACCCGTTATTCATTTTTTATTCCTTTTTCCCCATTTCGTTTTCTCTTCCTAAGAATTTTTTTTTTTCCATACCTCTTCGCTTACCACGAACTTTAACTCCAGAACTATTACTATTACTACTACTACTACTACTACTACTACTACTACTACTACTACTACTACTACTACTACTCTACTACTACTACGGTACTCCTACTATTATTACTACTACACTACCACAACTACAGTCGGCGCACAACACACGCTCCGTGACCGCACACACACGTATTACATACATATATATATATATATTACACGCACACGTTTAGTACGGGAAGAACCATTCGCACTCGCACGCACAACAGCGCATACATACGCGCATGCACACACGGCTCATCGTCAGAATGGTTGGACCGCACGGCGTATAGGTATACAGACCCGTCGTAGCAGCAGCTATCTTATTGTTATTATTATTATTATTATTATTATTATTATTATTATTATTACTATTATTATTATATTATATTGTTCGTGCGGTAGCCCCGATTAAGAAGAAAATAATGATATTGTTGTCTCGTTGTCGCGTCGATCATCGGTGCGTCACATTACGTCGGGTGTAGTCGGGTATTTCGTTCTCGTGTTTCGTTTAGATGATACCGTCGCTGTCGCGTTTGCACAATTATCGACGACAACAACAACAACCACAACGACGGCGACCAGTCAGCACGGACTCCTCCGAACGTCGACAGGAGACTTCAGTGACCACCGCTGTCCGAAATTATTGATAATAACAATCCGTCGCCGTAGACATTGTTGTTGTTATTGTCGTTGGCCGTCGTACGGGCGTTCGCGCGTGTGTAGTTTCCGTGCGGTGCTTGCAGCTAGTGACGTCGTCTCTCAACAGTACCTACCGCGAGGCTCACCGCTGATATTTCATTATTTCGCCGTCGCCAACTCGAGAACTTCCTATACAATTTATTGCTATTTACACGGTTTTTGTGCGTTTGTATGTAGTGATCACCCCTCCCCCCTGTGTGTGTCTGGTGTCTCGCGCGTTCGTGAAATCGTATCCCATCCAGATCTCGTCTTCGGGCCGGTGTCTAATGTCGACATCACTACGATTGTTGCGCAAACATCGTACGGGAAACGGAGATTTTCATCGTTCGTCAAGTGACAGTCGATCAGAAGCGTACGACCGTCTCGCAGATGTTCGTTGCTGAGCCCGTTAAACGATCTGCCATTGAACAGTTATCTGTCGTTCGCATAATGTGTAAGTTGTTGCACATCTGTTGATCAGCACCCATCCTAGTGACAGTCACACACTGTCGAAAACACCATCAGTCAAACGCAGACAAACATGGATTTGCGACACATATTGTTATAGCGAACATAAAAGGTAAATAGTTTTTTTACTTTAAACAATTTGTTACGTTTTGTCGGGAGTACCTACTGTTTATAATCATAGGTAATCACCGATAACAGATCTAATGTGCTACCATTTGTTTAAAAGTAAATGATATTCTTACCAATATGACATGTCCCATAGTCGATGTGGACTATTGATATGCTGTATAACTCACTGTACAATATCAACTTAGATAGCAAAATCCAAAAATGTGGATTATTTGTACAAGTAAAATATTCATACCTACCATAGTTACCTATCAACCTAATATAAGCAATATTTAAATTAAGTTAAGTAATAGGTATTAGTAAGATATATATTGTACAATGTTAAGTTATCTAAACAGTTAATTTTATTACAGTAATATTTAATACATGTGATTGACTCTAATCTGGCCACATATTTTACTTGTTAATTTAAGTTTTGAACTACCTACTGTAAAAGCTTATTTGCTACCTTACTTAATGCAGATAATTCATGCACTTACATAAATGCTTCATTATATATTTTATTGTTGTATTAGTTATATAGTAGTATCACTTAATAGTTGATATTGAGTAGTTACTAAGTACATTATAATATTTGTAGAGTACTAAAATATATATAAATAAAATATGCAACTGACCATAATATTTTTATTTTTATTTTTCATAACATCAAAATTAGTTTTGGTAGGTAGGTAGGTATCTAACTATATAATAACTCATAAAAAAAATTATTTTAACATCTTGAATGTTAATTCCATCCATAAATTTTGTTTTTAATTTACTAATATTAGGTGAAGTATTTTTTTTGATTTGTTGAGTTTAAATCACTATCTACAATATTATTAACTTTACATCAAAGTGGTATTTTGTTAAAAAAAATTATACACCTGTTTGACAAAAAAAGGAACTTTTTTTATCTGCTTTTTATTTTATTTTCAAGAATGAAATACCTAAATAGTAAATATAATAATTAGCTTTCTTCAATAAATTATTTTGATTTTGAATTATTTTATTGTAAAATTATTAGTCTGTATCTAGGAATTAGCCAATAGGGTATAACAATGGGGTATAGGTAGAACACTACAGATCTCGATTTTTGGAGATTTTCAACAATTTTTTTATTACTCTTTAGAAGTTTTCTATTGAAATATAAGTAATGAGGTTTGCCTTGAATTAATTTTATTTTTACTGAAAGATATTTTCACAATGTTGTAGCCTACCAAAATGAAATGAGGTGTTTTAGGTATAGCAAAAATTTGATAATTTTATTATCAGTCGCTGACTTACAGAGTTTAACACAAAATTAAATTTTACTCGTGGCTTGAATAACGTAATTGAGTGTTATCTCTTCTTTTATTTGATATGTGTATTCCCGATTTGATTATTTTTAGCTTAGGTATAATTTTAGTCCTGGTATTTTTTGATCATACCTCGTATTTATAGGTAACTACTACCTACTTTTATTGTATTTTGGAATATATTTATTTGCATTAGAGAGTTTTAAAAAAGGGATGTTAAGGATATCACCATAATATGAAGTCTGAATATAATAGTAGTTAGTTCGTACCTACAGGGACGTGCTCACGGAGATAGGTGAATAAGGATGTCTATCCCCCAATTTGGTTTTTTATATCATCCAAAATATATGATAAAGGTTTGAATGAAAGTAGGTATATTTACCGCTATATAACGTGGTTTGAGTATATTCAAAAATATTTTATGCATCTTCCTTTAAAAAAAAGCTAAGCACGCCAATAATTAGGTTGTTACTATATTTAATTAGTCTAATAAATTGATATTCACCAATGCCATATAGATAAATATGTATAAGCATCCATTAAAATAGCTTAGGTATTCACTAAAAATGTGTTACGGTAAATATATACCCTATGATTTATACATCAGTCCATAATATCGAGAAAGTACCCAATATTTATGGGTACATTACAAATACGAATTGCATTATTATATAATACTACATTATATTCATACTTAATCGATTTCATAGGTACTTCAAGTTATAATTCTTAGGTCATTTATTTGATGTTACCTATAATAATCAAATGAGTACCTATTAGAAACAATACAATTTAAAAATGAATTTTAAAGTTACTTTTTTCCCCCTCAAAATAAATTAGTTACCTAATATATATATATATATATTAATTTCCTGTAAAATTACAAAATTATATGTACTTTCTTATATTTTTTACTCTTAATAATTTAATAATTTACCGTATACAAATATCTGTGACCTGTTTACTGTTTACTGTTACCTTAGATATGTTGCTCATGAAATTATTTAAACAAACTTTTTAATAAATTATATGCCTATTACAAAACGTTATTTATAAATACTTATTACTTAAGTATGACTAGTTATTGTATATATATATGGTATATAAAATGGTAAAATATGAATTAATTTTTGTTATAATATATACTAGAATACATAGGTATTTAAATACCATATAAACACTAGCTTGATAGTTAACCAATGTTTTCTGTTAGAAAAAGTGAAATAGTGAAACTACCACAATATTCATCTTATAATGAAAAAAAATTGAATAATGTTACTTTTTTGTACCTAATTTAAATCTTTTTTTATTACTTTTACTTTTAATTTTTACAATTTCTTGCACCTGAGACAAAACACCAAGTTTTATGAAATTAAAATTAGTTGCTTAGTAAGATCCAATGTCAAACACCATTTTTATTGAAATACCTACTTCATAAAATATGCTTTTCTCTCACATATATTTAAAATATGCAACAATATAATAGGTATGAATTATACTTTGAATACGAAAAAAACAAGCAAAATAAAAAAGGTGGTTGCCTTATCAATATGAGGTGATTTGTGGACATCATTGATCAATTTTTTAAATTTGCACTGAAAAATAACATTTCAATGCATTTAAATCTAAGCCCTAGAAGTATAACATTTGTGTTTTAGATGAATAAATAAAATAAATAAAAAACTTAACATTTAAATTTGTATTAGGTAGTTCTGCAAGAAAAATTGAAACTGCTTACAAGTATATAAATATTTTTATGGTTCTCTTCTTTAACAATGAATTACATTCACACTGAGTTCATTTTATATACAATAAAATATCATTGTGACACGTAAGTCACATTCATTGTTTGTAACATTATTATGCGTAGTAATCTTAATATATGTTTATAGAACTAGCTAGCTAGAAAATTTTTTTACAGAAGGCAGCTATTATCCTAGCTGTTATTTTACCACTAATCTGGCGTATATTGTTACACCATTTTATTATACATACATAGTCTAAAAATTGACTACTATTATTATTTACCAATAATTTTTGCTTACTAGGTAACAGTTTACTAAATAATTTTATTTCAGACCAGTGTAATAAGTTTGCCTCAACAAATTTGAACTAGGTACCAATAGACTTCAGTCTTAAATTATTAAACAATATTAAAGTTATTCATGCAAATATATTTACTTACTTTTCATTAATCAACAATAATTTACAATTTAATAAATATTTAACTAATATATATTTTTTGAATTAAGTACCACTTATAATAGTTATTATAATCTACAGTCTTGTAGGTTATAGGTAAATAAATATATTTTTACATCTTACAAGGTTTGATAGAAAAAGAAATAATTTAAATATATGTATAACCTAATAATTATTATAGTTTTAAAGTGTTCGAAGTAACTATGTTCTAAGTCCTTTAAGGTTCAATAAATTAATGTTTTTTTTCTGCTGTTAACACTTAATAAAAATAGAAAATTCCTATTGAAAATTAGGACGGGTCAAATTTTTCCTCTTGAAAAAGAGAGTTTTGAAATTTGAGAGTTGTATATTATGTTGTGTTCAAATTGGTAAAACCAGATTAATATTGATTGTTCAACAAAAATTAGAACGTTTTCATCTAGATATCAAAATGTAATTATTAGGATGTTTGTCTATTACCTATAAGATGTGACAATATTCAATAGGTACCTACCTAGCTTAATATTTTTTCATTTTTTCATTCTATTTAAATGAAATCATTCATTTATTTGATTCAATAAATAATTTCTTTATGAAACAGTTATAGATGTACCTAATTGGTTTATAATTCTTCTCAGAATTCTTTGGGTAGTGACTTAACCCAAAAAAATCTTTTTTGATTTCATGATATTTGCCACTTTTTTGTAAAAGTTCCAATGTAGTTATTGACTATTGTCGTCATTGGTAAATGTATTTTACAATGTAATCAGAAATAATATAATTTCATTCAATTATCATAAAATGTCTACATGTTAATGTTATTCATTGTTAATGTCTGTTATACAGAGGGTTTGTTATTGAAAGGATATTAGTTTTATTCTACTTAACCATGGAATTTAAAATTATCTGCTATTAAATCTTGTCTGTAAACAAAGATATTGCTGTATTGATACCTCAGAACAGAGTTTTGACACAGTTTAGTTAAGTTGCTTACAATAGTTAAAAAACTATATATTGATTATAATTTATAGCTAACTTATGGCTATAAACTAAAAATATTTTTATTAAATATGTATTTAAATACATTTTTTATACTATATCTATTAAGTAGATGTTGAAAAGCCATTTGTTGTCTTGATATGAAAACCTCTTTTGCCTTTATTATTTTATTTCTAACCTTTGATATGATAAAATGAATAAGGATGTGTCAATCTAATGCCCTTAGGCCTTAGTGACTTTGTTTGTGTTGTGCGCTTTTTTCAATAATTTTATCATTAATGCTTCAAATGGTTATAATTATTTACAAAACTAAAGTATTGAAGAAAGAATTTTTGTAGTGCAATTTGTTTGGGCCCCTTAATTAACATTTAGGCTTTTGCATTAATTTCACTTTATAAGAAATATTACAATGCTTTTTTTCTGTCTTTCACAACCGTTTGGGCAGTAAAAATGTTTTAATTTTCAAATTTGAGGATAATTTCTAGTAGCATCTTAGATCTAGTTAGTACTTTAGGAGTGTTCAAAAGTAAAATTCCTTGTACTTTTCAAATAATTTGCATAAACAAAAATAAAAACTAGAACTTTTATACAAAACCAATTTTTGACAAAACATACAAACTTTAGATACTTGACATTTCACCAAGTGTTTTATTTTTCCCTACACGATTTCCTACCCTATGTCACAGTATAATTTTCTAAATTTGCTTACTCTTTTTAAGCTATTTATAGGCATTTTAAAATGTCCAGCTTTTTTTTAGAAATGACGATAAAGTAATTATTAAAGCTATTTAAAAATATTAAAGATATATTTGAAGATGCATAATATGGATTATTTTTATAAGCATTTGAAGTTCAAATTCACATAAAATTTGTCAAGATTATGAAAACTCCCAAATTATTTTATAATTAAAAATGTAAAAATATTAAATTTCTAAGGGTAAAGATTGAAAATCTGATACAAGATTCCTCATATGTAGTTTAAACTATTACCAAAAAATCTAAAAAATATATAAATACAATTTTTTTTTGACAGTTTAAGTTAAATTTGATAAAAATTCGATGCCATTTAAATAATGAATAACCGTTTTATTTATACTGTTGTAATTTCAAAATATTATTCCTGTGTGCTTTAAACGTTGAACTTAAAATATTATTTTTCATGTTCAATCATTGATACCCTGAATGACATTTTCTTGTACATTTTCAAATGAGATGTTTCCTGTTAAAATTAATTTAACTCTCTGTATTTCTAATAGTAAAATAAATTACTTAAATAGTAAAAAAAAAATATCATAAAATTTACTCAATAATATAAAATCATAGACTTTCTTCTCTCAGAATCGTTTTCCATTTCGTCATTGAATTCAAATTGTACATATTGGTATTTATATGTTTAATATTTTGGTAGATTCAGAATTAACCTATTGTTCTTCATATCTTATGTTATTGCTAATAAACGACTTACAACTACATTTTAAAGTTATTCCAAGCTTAGGCATATTTAGGTAACTCAAAATTGATTTTTTGGACTTATTAAAAGTGTTTTTTTTAAAAACCATATAAAGAAGGGTAGGGAACATAAATTAAATATATTAAATTAATCAATTTTGAGTTATTTTAATATGCAAAGGTTTGAAACAACTTAATTACTTAGCTTTTGACGTACTTTATTATCAATAACATGAAATGTAAGTCTGTTAAATAGGTAAATTTTGATTTTATTAAAATGCTGAGCATATATAAATACTAACATTTTTAACTCAAAAACAAAATTTTTGAAAAATTGACAATTTAAAATTTTTCTATCTTAACTTCCATATGAAATTTGAGCTACTTTTTTGAAATGTCGACCAAATTAACCATGCAAATACACCCATTTTGAAAAAAAAAAATCCAATACATTTCTCCGGAGCTAAACTGCATTTATGGTGACAACAGTAATCAAAGAGTTAAAATAGTTTTTTTCCTCAAAATGATACATTTAAATAAATGGCAGACAGTACATTGACTTTCTCTTAACATTATGTGAGTGCTTGTATGCTATAAAGTAAGTATTTAGTAATATACACCTAACTTAGTTTTTAATTATTAGCAATAAATCTTATTAGTTTTCTATTATGGGTCAGTCAAATTTTAGTGCCGTGATTTGTGTATTCTAGGTTGTCATTTAGTTATAGCCCAAATAAAAATTCAGCTTTTACTGATATGATTAGTAAACCGTAGAATTACCCAGTGATAGGGCTTTGTTGGTAATATAGAATATATTTAATGTATTGCAATAACTGTTCATTGTGTGTTTTTGATGATTTATATAATATTGCACAAAGGTTTTTGTTTGAGTTTATTTTTTGATCAACATATTATACATTTTTTTTCCAAAAAAAATACTCATTTGAATTATTATGATTTGGGAACTCGTTTATAATGTTATTTTAATGAATGTTGAATGTAGAAGTGTAATACTTAAAAAAAATGAAAAAAAAAATTGTAAGTTTCTAATCATGTATTTTTTTAAATAAAATATATTCTAAATTAATGTAGGTACTTATTGTGATAAGAATATTAGCCTACAGTTAAACTATACTTATTCATATTTATTATTTTTGTAACAGTTCCTAATAAATATTTTATTGAAAATTCAATTTTCTATAGTAATTTGAAATGTTAGTGTTTTTTAAAAATTAAAACACATTTAATGTCTTAATAATATCATTGATGATCACCTATTGGTTCTTATTTAAAATAATGTAATTATGTAAAAACATTAAAGGTCGACAACAAAGCTCTAAATGATGAAATGTTTTATCTTTGTTTTTAGTGTCAAAAAGGAGATGGCAAGATTGAGCAGTGGAAATGTAAAACTTGTATTCTTCTTGTTGACTGTTTTATTTCCTGTCACTTTAGCTAAAGGTATTATACATTATCAATTACTTTATTAAAAAATGATACGTTTTAAGTTACAAATATTTTCACTTAAATAATTTAGTTCAATTTATAGATACTTCTCGTTATGATACTGTTTATGCCTGTGAAGGAAAACCTCTTAAATTGGAATGTAAAGATGGTGAAATCATTCATTTGGATAGGGCTATATATGGTAGATATTCTATTACCGTTTGCAATGATCACGGTAATACGGACTGGAGTGTCAATTGCATGTCCACAAATACTTTACCACTACTGCAAGCCAGGTAATTAATGTTTATTTATATTGTTCTTATTAAACTTTTAATATTAATTTGTTATTTTATTTTAGATGTAATGAAAAAAGAAACTGCAGCATACAAGCAAACACAAGTTTATTTTCTGATCCATGCCCCGGAACTATGAAGTATCTTGAGGCACAATATCATTGTGTTCCTGGTAATTTAATGTTCAGAAACTTTTGTTTTTATTGATTCATTTTTACTATAATATTTATTAAATTTTAGCATCACTATCAACTACAACGCTCAGACCAAATCCTCCTTGGTTAATAACATCACAACCCAGTGTTTGGAATGCAGATAAATTATTAACTCTGAAACCTGCTACCCCAATCCCACCAATTTTGTCATCACCACAATTAGATGATATTGTTGGGTCGAGTGTTGAGGAGGAGCCTGTATCAGTTTCTGTGACCACTACAAGTACAAGTACAACTGCTGCACCAGAAGTGTCTATTGTTGTTAATAATTATAAAGAAAATAATTCCAAGACTGATAATGAACAACACTTACAATCAAGTAAATGTTACTCTAATTATTATGGTTATTACCAATTATTAAATATAGTTTATTACATGGACAATGTCTGTATATTAATTTTATGCCAAAATTGAAACTTTGTCGTAGCAAAATTAAGTTTTATGGGCTTCTAGTTGATAAAATAGTATTATTTATATAGAGTTTATTATAAATAACTTATAAAATATCCTAAAATTAAAAAAATTAAATATTTTTCAAGATTCAACTACTTAAACATTTTTGTTTTACATTTTAATCTAATAAAAAAAATTATTTCAATTCTAAAAAGTAAAAATCTGTAATAAACTATATTTCTTATTTACCTGTAATTTTTGTTTAACATGTTTTTTTTTACTATTTAAATTAAACTTGGTATCTAATTTCTGAACATTTGTGTATTTTTATTTATTGATGTTTTATATAATTATATTTTTATCATAGCAGGCGCCATAACGACTGAATGGATTGTACCTACCAGTGACTTACCTCCACAGTTAAGCATAATTGATGTTGAAGGAATGGATGATAGATTATCATTGTCATGTGCTCCTGAAACGTCAAGAAGTTTATTTTGGAATTGGACTAAATCTGGAGAAGAAGCTGTACAACCATGTCCTGGCGGTGCTGCTGGTCTTGCCAGGTTAAATTTTATGAGATATGACTATAGAATTATACTGTTATATTATGATAATATTGAAATTTAATGTTTTAATTTATTTGTATTTAATAGATGGAGATGTCAGACTTATATTAAGGGTGTAACATTTAGATCACCTCCTACACCAGATCTTTCAGAGTGTCGTTCAGTATGGTTGTCAAGTTTAGAAGGTAGACTTCATCAGGGAGATTCTATTATCAGTATTGCAAATGATCTATCACAGGTAAATACTTTTATAATAATTAATATTATCTAATAAAAGTTAATTTGTACTATTTTTGTATCTCAATTATGGGGCAAGTTTCTTCACTATGATTTTTATTTGAAAGGCAACAATTTGGAAATTTCTAATCTTGCTTTTGCTGTCCAGGATCTATGTGGTTGTCTTAAATTATTACTAGTATGCGTTGGTTTTAATGCGGGTACCGATAAATGCCACTCTCATACGCACATCTAACTCTATTAAAATTTTAAATTCTCTATGAACTTTACGGCAATTTTTATATTTTGACAAAATTAAAGTTAGTTTGACGTAGTTTGATTTTAATTTGTAAAAAATATATTTTTGTTTTAGCAGAAAAATGTCTAAAATTCTAGATTGCACAGAACACTTTAAATTTTAAATTTTAGCTTATATGTTATTATAATTTGAAAATAAAATCCATATTTTCAAGTTCTCAATTATAGTTCAAAATAACATTTTATCCAAGTATTCCATAATTTTTATATTTTATAAACATTTCACAATGGAATTTAAATTTTTTTCAGAACTTAACATAATCTGACTTTAATTTTGTCAAAACTTTTGGTCTTTGGAATTAAAATTGTTGGTAGTAGCGAGGTTCAGTGAATAAATAATTTTTGTTTGAATGGATTTCATGTTTGTATTTATTATTTTTTATTTTAGGTGACTGATAGTAAACCATTATATGGAGGTGATATGATGACTACAACAAAAATGTTACGAGATGTTGCTCAAAAAATGGAAAAGGATATGGTTACATTTCCTGATAAGCAACAACAGGAGGCAATGGTTACTGATTTATTACAATGTGTGGTGCGGATTGGCAGCAATTTACTTAATGCTTCTCAATATCCTTCATGGAAGGACCTGACATTTAGTGAGCAAATGCGTGTTGCAACAAGTTTATTGATTGGTTTAGAAGAGAATTCTTTTCTACTTGCTGATATAATGATGAAGGAAAAAACAATCACTCATAGCGTTCAAAATATTTGTAAGCTTCTAATACGTTTTACCACCAATTATCATAATATACTATTCAAATTTTTATTTTTCTTAGTATTGAGTGTAAGGGTTATTGCTACACAAAATGTTGACACTGAAGTATTTCCACATTCATATTCGTCGAATACAGGATTCTTTATGAATAACACATGGTTACAATTACATAGAACAGCATTGCTTGAGAATAGTGAAGCAGGATTTATAAGACTTGTTTACATAGCATTTGACAGTCTAGAAAATATTTTACAACCGCAATCAAACAATGGTGTTCGAATAATAAATAGTAAAATTATATCAGCATCCCTTGGTAAAGGAAAACATATTCAATTACATCAACCAGTGAAATTATGTTTTCAACATCTTCAAATCGACAACGTTAGTAATCCTACTTGTGTGTTTTGGGATTATACAGAAAAGTGAGTTATATATATTTTTTAATTCAAATTATTTAATTATAAAAATACATAAAAATAATTATTGCAATAATTATAATTGTTATTTTGAATTATAATATTAATATTATTTTATATTTGCTATGATAGTTCATAACAAAACATTCCATCCCAGAAATACAGATAATAACTATAGGTATTGATGTCTTTAGTAAGTTTTTAATAACATTATTGTTTTGATTTATTTGACTTAAATCACCTGTCGATCCTGACAAAACTTAACCTATTTTCATCTTACAAATCATTCAAATTATTAATGGATTGATTCCAAAATCTCTATTACATTTCATTTTAATTTCTAATCTGTAACTATTATCACTATAAAATGAATTATTATTTAAAATATCTAACAAACATGTGATGAATGTTGTCCACAAAAAAAAATATGTATAATTTAATTTATTGCCCATTTTTACCCTAACCTTACGATAAAGAAATTAATGTACCAGCATACAATTTTCAAAAAGTAGTAACTTTCCTTGTTAATATACAAATAATTGGTAAGATTTATGAGCTAGTGATGACATAAGATAAAATATGTTAAATAAAAAACATTAATGTGTGTCTGTTTTGGTCTGTTATAATTTTTACATTTCTCATGTTTATGTTTTTCACAGCGGATGGTCAGAAGAAGGATGTTCCGTAATATATTCAAATCAAACTCATACATTATGTAAATGTAATCATTTGACGAATTTTGCTATATTAATGGACCTTAAAAATGCTGGTAGTGAACCTTTAAGCATTGCATCAAATAATATGGTCATGTATATAAGTTGTATATTTTCTGGAATTTGTTTTCTTTTGGCCGCGATTACTCTACAACTAACAGTTAAAGTAAATTAATTTACTATTTATTTGAACTAAAATGTAAAAAATACAATGTAATTTTTATTTTCAGTCAAATCGAACAGTAATTTTGAAAAACGTATTTTTTTGCCTTTTCTTGGTTGAATGTTTTTTCATGTTTGGAATTACACAAGAAAATATTGTGTTTATTTGTACAATAATGGCAGCAATCCTACATATTTTGTTGCTTTGTTCATTTACATGGACGCTAATTGAAGGTATGTTAAAACTGGGTTATAAAAAAAGGATTTATTTAAACATATTATATATGATATAAAACAAATATAAAATTTTCGTAATTACTACTCAGTACATAAGTCCAATTCATTTTAAAATATTTCTTCTAATGAATGCATAAAATCTTCCTGACGCCAGTGATTTAGAAGATCAAATAATTAAATGTGACAATATATGCAGCTCCTTGTATTTGTATAATATAATATTATGTATATATTTCAAATATATTAAAAATACATATTGATAGTATATTATTTATGTGCAAAATTATAGAAAAGTGATATTAAACATTCTTTAATATCTGAATATTTCTCTTACTATGTTAAACAATTTGAAACCAATTTTAGAAATATTATTTTATTAGACTAGTTGAAAGTTATATATATATTTATATTAATATATATATATCTATATATTTATATTAATATATATATATATTTATATATATGTCTTAAAATCATATTTTAAATCTGATTTGCGTGGGGTTAACCTAAACTATTATTTAATTTGTATGAATATTACATTCTAATCTATTATTTTTGTCGTACCTAATTGTTATAAACTCAATAAAAATAAATGTATACCTTGCATAAAACAGAACCCGTATGATAACTTATACGGTTCATTAATATAATATTAATTAATTATTTATGGTATGTGAAAATGATAATTGTACTTACAGAAGTGTTGCAAAATACTTAAATTTAAAATGACTTGCTCTGTCAATGAAAAAAATTGGTTAGAATTACTTTGAATTGCAAGTTTCCTAAGTAAAAGCTATACAATATAATATGTTTTGCAGGGCATATACTTTTGATATTCTAGAAAACCTCAATTGACATCACTGGGTTTTTACTATATTATTATTTGTATTATTTTAGGTTTCCATTTATATGCTACATTAATTGAAGCATTTGATTCTGAAAAATTGCAAATGCGTTTGTATTATTTAGTTGGTTATGGAGTTCCATTAACAGTGGTTATTGTAGCTTGTTATATGGATAACACTTATATCTACAACACAAATAATTCCTTCTGCCTGCAAGCTAATACTATTATTATTTATAGCATAATGTTTGTGGTTTCAGTAAGTCATGATCATTTTTGATTATTCATAGTATTTTCACTAAAACATTGTTTGAAATAATATTTATGTAATCATTATTCTTTGTTTAGGTAAATCTAGTCTTTCTATGTCTATCATTATATATTATTAAAAGTAATTCTTCCTTGATGTCGGTCAAATGCAAAGAAAATGTTAAAATAACATCTTTGAAGTAAGTTATAGAATATAGAAAGTTATAATTACAATTAATAATTATATATTTGTCGCATTCTTTTTATATTAATATAAATGTATTTATAGGATGTGGTTGAAAAGTGCAATTTTATTATTTGTTTTCATAACGTCAACGTGGACTTTAGCTTTTTTATACATAGCATCATATTCAACATTTATGTTGTACATTTTTTCGGCAGTAAATTGTTCACAGGGATTGTTAATAATAATACTTTATTGTATTAAAAATAATTCAGTGAGTGCATGAAATTAAGTTGAATAAAAAATTAGAAATTTAACTTATATTATTAATTTATAGGTATATAAAGTTTTTTCTGAGTTAACAATAATTTCATTTTTACCATGGCAATGCTGCTTAATAAATTCTACTCCAGAATTGAATCTCAATTATAAAAATCAAAGAACTAGTTTGTATGGTACATCAGTTGGCCAAAACAGTCAAGGCAGTATAGCAGAATCTTCAACACCAAGATCTTTGTCATCTCATAGAATGAATGTAAGTTTATTTATCACACAAGTCTATATGTACTAAAAATAGTTTATAATATTAACTTAAAAATATATCATTGGCATTTTTAATTTATAGACATTTCACCAACCTCATGAGCGACATGCTGTGACAAAAGTTGTTGATATACAAAATGAAATGGACCTGCCAAATTTGGATAATTCAATATGTAATGAAGATCCAAAATCTGGAATATGTGGTGCAACGTTACCCTACTCCCGTTCTTGCCAAAAAAGTTATTCGCGTACCAAATTGCCAAAAAATTCTGCGGTATTCAGTAGTGGCACCCTTCATAAACAGTCATCTCAGGTACTTAAAAACAAATCATGTTAAAATTTGAGTAATATAGTTATGTGTTTTATTTTTTTTTTAGAGTAAACCAAACATCCAAGATAACTGTTTTACACTTAACAAACCTACTTATGTACATAGCAGTCGTGGGGCACCGAACATATGTTCACTTCGATGTAATACTATTGGTGATGGTTTTGTTGACAATAATTGTTCATCAAAAAAATACATTGGAGTAAGTGGTGTGCGAGCTACTAGTCCATGGAATCACACATACTCTGAAATTATGGGTGGTATATCTGCGTCTGCCGGACTAGATGATCCGGTATACGAAGAGATAGAACGAGAACGCGAACGAGAGCGGGAACAAGCTGCTCTTGTGTCTGATTTGAGTGATGAAGATGGAAGACGAAACAGTGATATGAGTCGCCAGTCATCAAAGAGTTATGGAGACCATAGGCCACTTATTATGGCTCCCACACAAAATCCAGAAACTCATAATTTCCATACTGCTCTCAACGCTGCATTTAGGCAGCAGCTTAAAGAACAAACAGCTAGGACAATTGCTGTACTGGATGGGCAAACCGTTGTGTGTCATTTGCAACCTGAGCAAAATGATGTGTTTAACTCTCAGACTATTCAACATTATTCATACGAATGTTGATGGCCTATAATGGAGGGTACCTATTAATGATTTTCATTATATATAAATTAACTTTTCTACTGCTAAACCTTAAACATGACTCCATAAAAGTTACATTAGAATTAAATATGAATGTATTTAACTTAAAATTTAATTAAGTAATAATTGATAAACAAACTTAAATTGGTTTAATGGTTATTTCTTCTCTAGTTGATATTGATACATGAACAATTTCTATATTTCAAACAAATTATACAAATTAGACGACATGCTTATAATTTATTCGAACTTCTTAATTTTTTTAATTATACCTATTCAGACTATTATTTCTATAACATAAAAAATGTTAGGCAGATCATTCGGTTTTTTAGTCCCAAACTTTGTTTTTCAAATACATGCTTGTATTAATTTAAATGTTGTATTAAACAAAATTACAAAATTAGTATTAGCCTATTCCTTAAATGTCCAATCAATTAGTTTTAAAATAAACTAATTCTGTAGTGAATTATTTTAATATTATTAGTGGTACCCATGTCAATATTATTAGAGGAATAATTTAATAGAATCTGATGTATATCGTCTAGTCCTATAAACGAAAGCAATAAAATTATATCTTATTCAATAACATAATTGATATTAAACCATGCAATAATAAAAACCTGCAATATATAATAAGTATTAATTAATTTTAGGTTTTGATTAGAAAATATTTCATTGACATACAAATTTTAAATTATTTTTAACTACTCAAATACAAATAATAAATACTTACAATTTTATGAATTTGTGAAATTATTGCTTCGAAAGTGAAACCATTAATTTCAATGTTATTTTGCTTTAAATTAAATTAATAATATTAGAATTTTTATACAGTTATAAACATAACATTTATAAGCCTCTAAAAACTAAAACATTTGTATATTTATTGTATACACTATACATGTATAACTGAACACTGAACATTTTTCCCAACATTGAAAACTAATTTATAATAAAACATTAAACATAGTATTAAACTATTCATTAATTAGTATAATATTTATATAATTTGGAGGACATGAATTCAAATCATTAATTTCCAATAATCAAAATATTTATTATTATTATTATTATTTATTATTAATTCATTTTGAATTTTTATTCATTGAAGGTATCAAATACAATAGTGAACTCATGTACTTGTATAGTAATTATTTAAAAACAACTAAATTTATGGATTAAATGAGTTCAATAAATATTTTGGGAGGATTTCAATCTATTTTCACAATGCTGTTAACAAAGTAGAAATTCATTTTATTGTTTACTGAAATGTCTTTAATTCTAATAGTGGATTATTAATTTTTTTAATTACTTTCACCCTATAACTATTATTGTTAGTAATTATTTACCTATTATGTTTATTTCTGAAATAAATAATTTTCTTAGATTCTTTATCAAATTTATTTTTATACTGACATAAAATAAAATCCATGTTGCATTTTTAGCTTACAATTTAATTTAACCTACTATTTAAACATGTATTTCATAATTTGCTTTAAACGTTCCTAAATAGATTTATTCTTCTCTGATGCATTGTGAATTTTAATATTTTATTGTCTATATTTTCACTGAGACTGATTATTGAGAGTTGAGACTGGCTTTTCAGTTTGTATGTTTTATCACCAAATATCCGTATGAACATTTCCATTTTTAAAATATTCTATGTATACAATTATTGTTGAGTTATTCTATGGATATTGAAAATTTGTAATATCAACAATTAATTTATTAATTCAGTAAACAAAATAGAATTCTACTTAATTTATCACCTCTTAAAACATGATCCTCCATCAGTAGTTTAAATTAATTTTATTCACAAGGTATTCAAAATGATTAAAAATATATGTTTATAACCTCTCTAGGATTTTAATTATAATTAAATGTTAGTATGAGATTTTTTTAAATATTATAATAGAAATAAATAATAATAGTAATAATAATTAATTCAAATTATTAGCAATATTGTGGCTTACGTTTACCTGGTTTTACTAATTATCCAATGATGAAATATTAAAATTTTTGGCAGTTGGTATAAAATGGAGAGATACATTTGGTATAATTGTACATCATATTTATGTTCTATTTCAGTTCTGAGAAGTTAAAAAATCTGTAGGTAAAGAATAGTTTCCCCTTTCTTCTAAATTTTATTAGGTTACATTTTGTACTGACTCCGTAATTTTAGTTTAACTTAATTGTTTTCGTAATTAATAAAACAATTTGAATTATGTATGTACTTAATTAAATCCCAAATTGTTGTGTTCTTTCAATATTTAATTACTTTTAGTACGTTTAAAACGTAACTGTTAATTTTTGACTATTTTCATAGTAGAATAAGCGATGTAGCTTATGAATATTTAAAGAGAAGTTAACAACAACTTAATACAATATCACTCAGATTTATTCTTGCTTTTATACAAACTATACAGTTATACTTTTAGTACTTGCATAGCAAACAAATAATTATATTAGAAATTTTATTTACCATGCCTTGAATGTTATCAAAATAAATCATTTACGTTATATATTTATATACATTTTTTTAATTGTACAAAACGCCTAAGTTTGTACAATTAATATTATTAAAATCAAAACTTAAGTATGTTTATTTGTTAAAATGTTATAGTTTTAAAATGCTTATGATAAAGTTAAATCTTTTTAAAAGAATTGATTAACACACTCCCGATCTTCACTACTTCATTACTTTATGATTAACTATAAGAATATATTATAGTCTGTATTTGATTAGTTATAGTGTACTCTTATAAATTATATTATTTTTATATTCTATGTAAGGACATGGCCAATAATGTAGTTTAAAATTTGATATAGCTTGTTATGTATCATGTTTATATTTTCATTTAAAATATAAACATTTGATTCTTAAGAACAAAAGTGCTTTATACATTGTTTATGTAAGTATGATTTATGTATTGTTTAATAACTGCATTTGTGTGACTGTCATTTTCAAAATTGAATTTTTTTTCTTTTGTTGTGTATCAATTATTATTTTATTATTAATTTTATTTTTATCCATTTTTATACTTGTAATAAACTCAGTATAGGGTGTTTTTTTATAATTCATAGTTTTCAACTATGTTATCATTGAAGTAGTTATACAAAGAGCCGAAATGTTATTGGTAAATCGTTATATTTTAGGTATTGTGAAATCAATGAATTTAATGAAACTTTTTCAAGCTATTTAATACTCGTTTTAATTATTGAATTATGCGAGTCGTAATACACTTAATGTCTATAACTTAATATATACATTATAATGAATACTTTGTAGCTCATGATGGTTAAATGGTTTATGTAGTTGTATATAGGTTAACTTTGAAAGTAATGAGTAATAGGTATCCTTATTACAATAGGTTTGTCATTATTATACATGATTGACGTATGCTGTGATCATATACATTAGTATTATATTAATATAATTAACGTGTAAAAATTGTACTATAAATTATATAATTAGTTTTAAAAATAAATCCAATTAATTTTGTATTCAGCCCTCTCATTTTTATACTCGTTCTTTTTATTTTATGCAAACAATACAGTAATGTGTATATAATGTAAATCAAAAATGTATACAGTTATAGAATATAAGGTTCCTTTTTGTTTCTTTTTATTTGTATTATTTGTGTCTTAATATTTCAGATTTAAATACATGAATATGACTGAACAGTCGTATATTAATAAAAGAAATATTCAACAGTTTTAATTGTTATTATGTCATGTAAATAGAAAATTAAAGCTGTTTCTCCATATAACTTGTAAGCTTTTAAAATTTGAAATAAGGATACTAATTTTCAGTTTAACTTGGGTAGGCACTGTTTGTCTACATAAACATATTTTGTCTATTAAACTGTTGATCATGTATTGTGAAATAACTAGTAGAGATGTCTTATGTTGGATCAAATTTAAAATGGATCTAGTTGATTCTTTCGGGCAGTGTTTAGAGAATTCTTTTTAGGGGTCCCATACCTAAAAAATACTTAGTCTCAAATACCAATCAAGGTATAATCTATAATAAGATAAGTACCTAGGTGTCTAAAATACCTTCTTATTTTAGTACTTGGTGAAGAAAAAATATTTGAGTATAAAAGTACATATATCTACTTAAAAAAACATTTAAAGATAGATACTTAAAAATACATTTCACAGTTTTACATAATATATTTTTTTATTCTTTAAGTTTTTTTTAGAATTTTCATGTAAATAAAATTGATAATTAAAAATATATAAACTAAAATAACATTTTTTGTAAATTAGTTTATTTTAAATAGGTAGCTTATAGAGCTACAAATACTCTGAGAATGTATGTATTTGAATTTTTGAGTAGGTGCTTAAAAAGTTATAAAGTATTTGAATACTTTTATTCAAGTAGGTTATAACAAATTTTTAAAATGTATACATTTCAATTTCATTTAAAAAAGTCAATTATTTAAATTATTGTAGTAAATAATAATAATAATAATAATAATAATAATAATTTAAATCAATTTCATAATAGGCAATTAATTTTTATAATATAAACATATAGATTTAAAAAACCGCAGGTGCTTATTTTTTGATCTGCATGGTCTTTAATTCTTTGAGGTATAGTTTTAAAAATTGTTAGAGTTACCACCACATACATTTTTAGTGTTTTTATGTGAGTTTTTAATGATAATTCAAGTTTTTAAAAAGTTTTGTGTATTTAGCTTATATAACAGAGTACAAATTAAAAATGCTTACAAGCCATCACTCACTTGAAAATTGAATAATCGTAAAGAACGTATTCACGAACAATTAATATTCTTAGTTCTTACCATTAAATGTTATAATTGGTTGCTTCACTATTTTAAAACTAGCTAATAATTTTCAGAAAATTTTCGATATTATAAAAGGTTTTTTTGAAATTTCGTTTTTAACAGTACATAATTTTTAGAAATATGGGCTTTTTTTGGTGGGGGGGGGGAGGGGAGGGCATGGAACCTGGAGCCGCCCCTGATTTTAATTATGCCAAAAACAATAATTATTTAATTTTATATTTTTGAATTTATCCCCATACAAATATGGGCCAAACAGAACCACTCTACTGTCTCTACTCACAACTATTAGGTTTAGATATTATGCATTCCGCACATTGAATAAAACCATATAATACTCATACGAAAATACGGCTTCCTTATTAGTGTAATAGTGTAACAATTGGTCCGATAAAATATTTAAATTATTCATTATTATTATTATAAAGAATTATTTATTATTAATTATTATTATTATTTATATGAATATTTTAATAAATGAGTTTTATTTGATGTGCGTAATGGTACTGGAATGCTCGTGGCTCACCTCCAACTAGTTTGCGGCACACTTGTGTGCAGCTCAACATGGGTTGAGAACCACTGGTACGCCTGCGACCGCTCATGTGTGAGCGAACGGTT